AAAGGAGAGCATTTTAAGGGAGTGGGCTGTGAAAAGATCTTTATTCAGCTATATCTTTTCGTCATTTTGAAAGGTCTAGTTGTCTCGGATGGAGGGCCCCTGGCTGCAGACCCTGGCATACGCCTGATAATGGCGGGGTACTGAGCTAGGTGCTTCTCAGCACTGGAGGTGGTGGGCGCCTGCTGGGTTGGAAGGTCCAAAGAAGTGGAAACTGTCCTTGGTTATGGGCACAGCAGGGCTGCACATGGGCACCTCCTCATCTGCTCCCTTCCTCAGCAGGGCCGGCTCCCAGGTGTCAGGGTCAAGTATGTCTTGCTAGTCTGGCTGGGCATCGTCGTGGGCAGCTGGATGGTCTATGTGCACTACTCGTCCTATTCGGAGCTCTGCCGTGGTCACGTCTGCCAGGTGGTGATCGTAAGTCTGCCTGGACCCAGGGACCTGACCCCTGTGGGGATCTTAGAGATTTGATGGGAGGTGGGCTTGGAATTGGGGGAGTAGAGGGCTGGGGTGATCAGGGGGAGGAGGCAGGGAAATTGTAGCTGCTGCATGTGCTTGGGGTGGACTTAAATGTTGAAACATGGGCTGTTTAGCAGGGAGACAGGAATAGCCTGGAGAGGGCTGCCCTGACCAGTTCTGAAAGCAGGCCATGGGGTGGAGTCTTTTATGCCTTTCTCTCCAGGGAGCCATTGCTGCTGCTGAGTGAGGGTGTCCTTGAGAGAGCATGCTTGCATGCCAGTGCCTGTGTGAGTGTGCCCATGAGCCTCATGAAGCTGGTACCTCAGTTCTCCATTCCTTGTGACTGGTGACCGGGACATATTATCCCCAGACAGGGGACATTGCCTTTTTTCCAGAGGAGATCCTTCTCACCCCTGTCTCAGGTGCTAGCCAGACTCTCAGCAAGGAGGGAGCTACTCAGTGGATCCTTACCCTGCCCACTCTGCAGATGGAGAAACTGAGGCTTGGAGACCCAGGGACAGCAGGAGTCCTGGGGATGGCTGAATATACTGCCCACCTTAGTTTCTTTTTTTTAATTCTTTTTTTTTTTTAAAAAAGTACATTTAAGCCGGGCGGTGGTGGTGCACGCCTTTAATCCCAGCACTTGGGAGGCAGAGGCAGGCGGATCTCTGTGAGTTCGAGACCAGTCTGGTCTACAAGAGCTAGTTCCAGGACAGCCTCCAAAGCCATAGAGAAACCCTGTCTCGAAAAACTAAAAAAAAAAAAAAGTACATTTATTTGTATATGTGTATATATATATGTATGTGCACACATGTGCCATGGCCTGTGTGGAAGTCAGAAGACAACTTGTGGAAGTTGGTTCTCTCCTTCCATTTTTACCATTCTGGGGTTTGAACTCAGGCCATGAGACTCTGTAGCAAGCTCCTTAACCTGCTGATCCAGCTTGCTGGGTCCTAACCTTGGTTTCTGTGGAATTTCCTCCCAGCATTCTCAGCATTCTGTGGAATGCTGAGCAGGGCCATCTACTGTGAGCAGCATGGCCTCTGGCTCCTGCAAAGCCCTCCGACCCCCTCCTGAGGAAGTCTTGTAACTGTGTTGGTGGGCTATCAGCACAGAGTCCTGTGGTAAAGGGCTTGCTTCCAGGTGGGATGACAGGCACAGCTTTACTGTTCATCTCTATCGGATGAGGCTGCTTCATGTGGCCACAGGACACACTGTCTTTGTGGCTCACATGGATGAGACAGTGCTTTAGATTGGCTCAGCTTCTTGGATGGTGGGGTGTTGGGTATCTCCCTTCCCCCATTTCCTCCAAGCCTGGCTCTAACCAGCGCCGGGCTCCATGGCAACCAGTGATGTATATCCAGGAATTTACCCAAGTGAGAGCCAGTAGGCCCTTTACCCCCAGACTAGGGGCTGGGTAGTGCTGATTTAATCTGTGCTGAGAGGCTCTCTAGCTAATGAGGCGGCCTGGGGGCAAGCCTGGCAGGAAGTAAGGTCCTGGGGCCCCAGGATGCCATTTCTTTAGGGATGGTGACAAATTGCATGACAGTGACTAGTAACTGAAGTACTGGAGCATTTGAAGTACTGGGTCTTGTTCACCCTCTCTTTCCTCCAGCAGCACCTCTTATGGGTTGGTGGCTGAGTCCAGCTGGATCCTGAGGTAGACGTCAAGGAGAGGCCCTACCATTGGGCTGCTCCTGCCTCAGCCTACTGCAGTGGCAGGCTAAGCCAGACCAGAGATCACAGCAGATGGGAAGACGTTGGATGGGGAATGTGGACACCTGCTCAGGAGTGTCCCGAGCTGCCTTGAAAGTTCCCGGCCATGCTGGGTTCCAGAGCTTGGACAGCCTCACCATAGGGAGATGAAAGGGTGGCCCAGGTGCCCAAGGGGTGCTGCTCACTAGAGACTTACCTGGGTAACACCAGAGGCCCCTTTCATCTCACCCTGGTCTAGGCTACTATCTGACTATAGCTCTGCTGCTGAGGCCCCAGCTGGGGCTGCAGTGGAAGCCTGCTGTGGGGACCTGCCTGTGGTCTGGGCCACCTCTGTGTATTCTAGTTGCAGTGCCTGGCATAGACTGGTGGCGCCCTTCTCTCAGGAGTCAAGTCAGCAAGAGGAGGGAACAGAGGGTTGCTCCAGGCTTATCCCTATGCCCATGCTGCTAGTGGCTTTTCTTTCCCTTCCTTCCTGGGGGTTCCTGGAGGGGTGTGGCTGGGCTGTAGATTCATAGGAAGTGGATAGGGCTGTGACCACCAAGTCCCATGGCCTGGGCCATACCCTGGTGCCTGTCTCCTCAGTGTGACCAGTACCGCAAGGGCATCATCTCCGGCTCTGTCTGCCAGGACCTGTGTGAGTTGCAGAAGGTAGAGTGGAGGACCTGCCTGTCTTCAGCCCCAGGCCAGCAGGTGTGCAGCTGGGCATGGTTGGCAGGCTGGGTACAGGTGGCTACTGCTGGTGGCAAGCTGGACACCTATAGGGAACATACGTGTGGCCTTGTCTAGGTGTACAGTGGGCTCTGGCAAGACAAGGAGGTGACCATCAAATGTGGCATTGAGGAGGCCCTAAACTCCAAGGCCTGGCCAGATGCAGTCCCAGGGCGGGAGCTGGTGCTGTTTGACAAGCCCACCCGGGGCACCTCCATCAAGGAGTTCCGGGAGATGATCCTCAGCTTCCTCAAGGTTAGTCTGTTCTGCTAGGGGTGCTCAGACTTTCACTGTAGCCCACAGCTGGGTGTTTACAAAGACCTGGGTAGGACACAGACAAGGAAGCATCTTTCCAGGGCTTGTGGGAACAGACAGACTGGTGGAGTCTGAGGTGTGGTGAGGGCTCAGATTGAGACTGCACCCAGTGCGGGAAAAAGTAGGGACTGGTGGGAGATGGAAGCAGGGCTCAAGGGCCAAGTGATCAGTTCTTAATGGCTCAGGCCAATACTGTGGCTTCTACTGGCATCCCTCAGTGACAGACAGAAGGGATTTCGTGTGTGGTGCAGTGAGCAGGCCTTGTTGACTTCTAGTATCTAGAGACCAGGCCAGACCCACTCAGTGCTCTGCCAGCTGAGCGGTATGCACCAGGGTGTGCTTCTCTGCCTTCCTTTTGGTCCCACATGTCAGGCGAACCTAGGAGACCTGCCCTCCCTGCCAGCGCTGGTTGACCAGATCCTTTTCATGGCGGACTTCAACAAGGATAGCAGGGTGTCCCTGGCAGAGGCCAAGTCTGTGTGGGCCCTGCTGCAGCGCAACGAGTTCCTGCTGCTGCTGTCCCTTCAGGAGAAGGAGCATGCTTCCCGGCTGCTGGGCTACTGTGGGGACCTCTACCTCACTGAGGGTATTCCCCATGGCTCCTGGCATGGGGCAGTGCTGATGCCTGCTTTGCGCCCACTTCTGCCATCTGTGCTGCATAGGGCTCTCCAGCAGTGGTTTGGACCTGCATGGCCCTGGCGTGCCAAGATTGCTATTGGTCTGCTGGAGTTTGTAGAGGAGCTCTTCCATGGTTCCTATGGTACCTTCTACATGTGTGAGACCACATTGGCCAATATTGGATACACGGCTGCCTATGACTTCAAGATGGCAGACCTGCAGCAGGTGGCACCAGAGGCTACAGTGCGTCGCTTCCTTCAGGGCCGCCACTGTGAGCACAGTTCTGACTGCATCTATGGGCGAGATTGTAGGGCCCCATGTGACAGACTCATGAGACAGTGCAAGGGTGACCTCATTCAGCCCAACCTGGCCAAGGTGTGTGAACTGCTAAGGGATTACCTGCTGCCTGGTGCTCCTGCAGACCTCCGAGAGGAGCTGGGCAAACAGCTGCGCACATGCACTACACTGAGTGGACTGGCCAGCCAGGTGGAAGCCCACCATTCGTTGGTGCTTAGCCACCTCAAGACCTTACTCTGGAGGGAGATCTCCAATACCAACTACTCTTAATGCTGCAGGCTCCAGCCATTATAGTTCAGCTGTGGGTGGAGCACCCATCTGGGGAAGTAAGTCTCCCCTACCCCATTCTCCTCCCAACAACTGAGCAGAGGAGCCATTCCTCTCAACATGTAAATAAATGGCTTTTATGTGACACCTGGGTGTTTGGATCACTTGCTAAATATGAAGCAGCCTTCAGACAAGAGGTGTTGTCTGGGCACCAATGGAAAGCATGTGGCATGTGCTGTGGGCCTCAATGCACAGCTCTAAGGATCCAGCCTGTGAACTCTTGTGCGCTGGCATCTCTACCTCCAGCACTCACTCCACAAACCAATCTTGCCCTAGACTGCTGGTGGCACACAATGGCAGCCCCACTTCCGCTCAGCTTTGCAACAATGAGTAGGCGCAACATGTTATCTTTGTGCTTTACTTCTCAGAGCAGTCATATTCTCTCCTCCCATGTCATTAGTTTAGGGAAAATGCTTGCCTACAGTATGCCAGCCACAGTTCTAGCCCAAACCCCTAGTGCTATCATTCACTCTAACAAGTTTTATTTTCCAGGGGAGATGAGGGGAAACTCAATGGGCTATTCACCCTTAGATTGGAGAACGCTGATAGCAAAGACTACAAGCTTCAAGAATTAACAAGTTTATTTGTGTCACAGCACCTACAGTTACATAATTATCCCTTCTAAGGCAATGTGCAATGCAGTTGGTTAGAGGGCCCTCCACCCCTAGAGCCACTACATAGACCTCACTTCACCATCTTGAAGGAACAGCCCAAGCCAACACAGATGTGGTCCATAATTTAGGACGTGGACTGCCAGGATACAAGTGTGCCCAAAGCCTGTATGGGTGGTTGTGTAGGTCCTTGGTGAGGTTACAGAGGCCACATCTGAGGCCCATGGCCTATAATTATATCTGCACCTGTCCTGATCAGCCATGTGACCAAGAGGTAGGCCTTATTCTTCCTGGCTTCTGGATCTGAAAAATGAAAAAAGATGGATAGTACCTTCTATTTCCTGACCTCTCTGGATGACCTCCCCCTACTCCCAAGTTCTATCTTGCTAAAATGCCAACCATGCAACCCTTTGGCAAGCTCTTGAGTTCTCTTGACATTGGGGGGCCAAGAATAAAGCCACACCCCAGTACCACCTCACCATGGCTCTGCAAGATGTTAGGCTATAAACCATTCTTAGTGCTCACTGGCTTCTGAACACTGAGCGTAGAAATAGCCACTTGCTCTTTGCCCTGATGTCACAGGCACAGCTGAGTAGCTGTGCTATGCCTGTAGTGCTGACAGATGTAGACAGCATCTTCAGGGCAGCGGCGGCACACATTCCAGAGCATGCTCCAGTGGGTCCATCCCACACCTCTTACCTCAATTGGGCCACTGCAGGCGTCTGGCATAAAGTTCACACTATGAGCAGAGCTTAATCACCAGCTTTCCTGTACCGAAGAAAAAGTATCAGTGCAGCTCCCTCTAATCCACAGGCGTTGCACTTTTAATGCATCTCCACTCCTCTAAACATGGTCTACACACAGCAATGTACTTTTAACGTTTTTCTGACTAGTATGACAAGCAGGGAAGGACACCTTGGGGAAACTGGGCAAAGGGGTAGTTTATGCCTAGGGTGGGACAACCTAAGACCTCACCTTAGTTGACCTCATGGATTTTTTGCAACTACAGGTATCTAAACTAGTGCACAATGGAGCCCCACATGAGGGCAGCCACCCCCATATTCTGAACTCATTCCCCTTAACCTGTGCAGCACGAGCCCACTACCAGGCACCATTCTTCCCATTGTCAGTGGTGCCAGGGATGGAGACCCAGGCCTGCACCTTAAGTGAGCACTTTACCACTGAGCTGTACCCTAGCCCTGCTAGTTTGAAGTTGTGGAAAAGCGAGGGCTATAGAAAAGGTAGCCTGTCTTTCCGGCAGTAGCTAGCAACCAGTGCTGCAGGACAGCCAGTTTGAAATGCATTCCCTCACATCAAGATAGCCTGCCAACAACTTCAGATCATTAGGCAGTAACTCATTTCAAAGGATAGCTTTGATGCCACTATTGTTTCCACCCACTCTAGTTTATTGAGGCAGTCTCTTGTCCTACAGCCCAGGCTGGGCGAGCATCCAGGATTTCAGAAATATATGCCATAACGCTCTGCTTCCCAGGACCTTTCTAAGGTTACTGGCTTCATGATAGCCAACAAGTCAATTTATCTCATCTCTTCACTGACTGGCCCCTCTAATGGGTTTGTGCAGGGCCATCAAATTACCCAAACCAGTTAACAAGTAGGAAGGGCTGTCCCACCTCCAGCTTCGGAGTGTAAGGCTACTAATCATTCAAATGTTCACAGGTCAGAACACTGAGCGTAGACATAGCCTCTTTCCTCTCTGCCACCTACTGACGCACATGTGACACAGCAGCCACACCTGCAACGCCTCTAGGGGCAGGATGCTGATGAACCCAGTCCATCTGAATCTTTAGTAACTTTGGGTCAACTTACCTAAGGCCACACCATGTCCTCAGCTCCCTAATTTCCAGCAAACTCCCTAGAGGAAGAAAACAATCATTCCGCACACCATCTTGGCAAGATCACAGCGGGGCCTGCATCAGGCCTGTATTTTATTCCTATTCCAACGGGTCCACAACGGTTTGGTCTCCTTGCTAAGGCTTTCTGCAAATAAAACAAAAGCCGTAACCACTCTGCTCTTTCTCCTTTATTCAGTAGCCCTGCACTAAGCTGACAGGATACTGTCTCAGGTCGGCGTCACCTCAAGTTGGCTATTCAGAACGGTTCTGAATAGCTGTCCTGCATCAGCAAGCAGCAAATGCAGACAGGCCCTTTCCCTAGTGTTCCTTTGGCCTAGGAAGGGAAGACTGGGGTCGAGCCCCACACAGGGATGAGCACAGGTGGATGCTTAGGAAGCTCCCTGCACTGTACTAGCCCGGACGCGGAGCCTCGGGTTTCCTTCCTGGCCCTGGGACGCATCCTCCCAGCCCTCGGGCACATCATGAACTGTCTGCCCTTCCTCTTTCCACAAGGTTAGTTTGCTGCACGTATTAGGGCAACTGAACCCTTGGAGGAAAAGCACACGACATACTTTTTACGATCGATAGTACGAGACGCAGTCTTCCTGCCAGCAGGCCGAGAGCTATGGAGGGTGGTCCGCGGCGTCCCGGGTCAACCGCAGAGGACATGACGATACTAAGCTGCACGCTGCCATGGCCGCCGAGAGGCTGAGCAGGGGCCGCACCACGTCTCTTATAGTAGTGCCTACGGCAGCCCGCGAGGGACTTTCGCTGTCCTCTGGCTGCAGCGCCCTCTAGTGGACCCCCCGCTCCTCGCCAGCGTTCCTCGCAGCCCCAGCCCCTCAGAGGCTCTTGGGCAACTGGCCCTGCACGACCTATTAATACTAGATCTTGCTTCATCAAGTGGATCTCAGCGACTTATTTTGCTTGTTTCCAAGCTCGCAGGGCTTTTTCAAACCACCCATGGAGTCCTGCACATTCTCAGAAAGCTCTCTGTTTTTTTTTTTGGGGGGGGGGGAGAGGGGGGGGGAAGCCCTGCTTCCGATATTCTTGGTTATGCCAAGGCTTCCACACAAAGAGGAAGGGCCAGTTCTGACTAATCATTTATTCAGGGGCCAAGGAGGTGACACTTTGCTTCCTCGTTTACAAGGAAGCTTTGGGGATGGATCAGGAAGGGGCCTCAGGGAGTTCGTGGGTCCCAGATGCTTCTAACTAGCCCCCCTGGGGAGTTGTGCATGCATGGCTTTGAGGTACCGGGCAGATTTTTAAGGTTGACTGTGTTCTACTTCAGGGTGGTGCTCAAAGACACATAGTGCACCCAGCTAACTGCTGGGATCTGTGTTGTGTTCAGCACAAGCACACACCACACATCTAATGAGTCCTGAAATCGTTGAGGACTCCCAGGTGGTTGAGGGTGAATTTCGGCCTGCAAGCACTGTTCTGCTGCCCATGGGGCCACTTGCTGATGGCCCCAAATTCTTGAACCAATCCTTCCTTCCTTTTCCAGACTTCCTCCATTATTTCTAGCCTGTCTGCTTCCCTCCCCATTTTCCTTCCTGTCTCCTGTCCGTGCCCACCCTGCCACTTCCTCCCCTTCTCAGTGTAGCCTTGGTTGCTCAGGAATGCACTCTGTATACCAGGCTGGCCACCTGCTTTTGCCTCCCAAATGCTGGGATTAAAGGAGTACACCACACCACCACACCACCACGGCCTGGCTCCTCAAAGTCAGAGATCCACCTGCCTTTAATCTGGGGTGCTGGGAATAAAGGCATGTACCCAGCAGTCACCTGGGTTCCTTCCTGTTTTGTTTGCTTTTTTGAGACTGGGTTTCCCTGTATAGCCCTGGCTGTCCTGGAACTTGCTATGTAGACCAGGCTGGCCACCTGCTTTTGCCTCCCAAATACGGGGATTAAAGGAATACACCACCACCTACTGGCTCCTTCCTGGTTTTTGATACAGTGTCTCATGTAGCCTAGACTACCTTTAAACTTGCTATGTGGTTGAAGATAACTTGAACTTCTGATCCTTCTGCCTCTGCCTTCCAAGTGCTAGGATTAGAGGAATGCACTATCATGCAGGATTCAAATCTTTGAATCTTTACAGTAGGTGTGAGTATGGGGCCCATCTCCACTGTCCAGAGGGGAATTGAGACTCATCAGGAGTAAGAAAATGTTCTATTGTCACATGGTTGCCGTGGTGGGCCTAGGAAGATTCTTGGAGGTATGTCTGGGCAGCAGAGGTCGAAGGAAGCTCTCTTCAACTGTTGAGCATTGACCGGGTCCATCAGTGCCAACAGGTCTGGAAGAAACAAGAGGTGATGCTTCTTTTTGATCCACTCCTGCTGTAAGGCCCAGAAGATCCTGGTGCCCACCATATCATTTGTTCTAGCATTTGTGGTTGAGCTAGAGCCTATGCCAGAAGAGGCTTCTGCATTGGTCCCGAGTTGCAAACAGGTCTGGAGCCATCTCCAGATGACAGAAACAGAAGGAGCAACTGCTGGAACCCCATCAGCAGAGAGAGGTACAGTCAGTCCAGAACCAGCTCCTGCACCAATTCCAGATACAGGTCCATCAGCAGAGGTACAGTCAGTCCAGAACCAGCTCCTGCACCAATTCCAGATACAGGCAGTAGCACTGCCTGGGCCAGCCATAGCTCAAGGCTGGCTATTAACTCTGGATCTAGAACCAGGTCCACAGCCCACTACAGTAGTGGCACTGTACTGGCTCTGGTGTCGACCCCAGCTGCAACAAGGTCTCTAAGGATGAACTAGAAGTGGCTGAATCGACACCTCTGCCTCCAAATCCACCTTCACAGATTCCTTTCAGAGCTCTAGCATCGTCTAGCACTAACTTTAGATTTAGAACCTACTCACAGCTCTAGAGAGAGATGCAGCCTGAGACTCAGATCTACCAGGAGCTGCAGAAGCACTTCTAGTCCCAGCTCCTGAGCTAGACACAGCCTTGCAGGCCTCTCAGGGGCCGGTGCTCTCTGCACAGAGCCAGTTCCAGTCAGGAGCAGCAGCCTGTGAAAGTCAGGGCAGCCTCCACAACAGAGCAGAGTCCTATCCTACATCACAGTTTGAAGAACTAGTTCCTGCCCTGTTTCTTGAAGCATTTGACCAGTCTTCAGTGTTCCTGCTTCGAGGTGGCCAGCTGGCTTAGGCTTTTATTTACCGAAGAGTTTTGAGTTACAAAATTCTTTCCTTATTATAAGGTGTGTT